CCCTAAATAATGGGTTCTGGATTCTACATACTGTAATTACATAGCCCAGTCGCCTGCTATTTAGGTCAACCCTCTACCCTAAACACTGGGTTCTATATACTGTAATCACACAGCCCAGTAGCCTACTGCTTATATAGGTAACCTTGCTACCCAAAAGCCTGAATCCTTTCATTGGATGGCACCCTCAGTGGCGCACGCGCGCGACAGGATTGTGATAGGATGAGTGCTGACGTTCACGACACCCACCATCGCCTTTCGGCACGCACAGGTCAAGGATGATACCCAAAGGTTCCTAAGTATCGATATAGAGGGTTTAGGGTTTGGGGCTCAGGGTTTAGGGAATGTCTATATGTAGGGTTTCTATACTAGGGGAATTCGAATATCGTTTGGGCAAGTATCCCTTATATAGTAGTTTCCATTAGACAGGGGGCCCCAGTATAGATCAAAACACCGTTATCCTTTTTGATGGGAATACCCCCCCCCCCTCCCCCCCCAAAAAAAATGCCCCTAGTTTTGGGAAACCCCTAAACCCTAAACCCTCAATAGATACTTAGGATCCTTTCGGGGTAGGGTTTCAATGGCTTGGAGGGGAAGCCAGTGGCTCTTCATATGAGCTACAAATGAATGTTTCCTACATAGTTTACAGGGTTTTGTTAGGGTTTAGGGTATAGGTTTAGGGTCAATGTTTCCCAAATACGAAATGGGTTTAGGGTTTAGGCTTAGGGTACAGAGTTTAGGGTTTAGGTTTCGGGTTTAGGGTATAGGGTGTATGTATCGGGTTTAGGGTTTAGGGTATAATACAGGATTTAAGGTTTAGGGTACCGGGTTTAGGGAATAGGGTTTGGGGTTTAGGGTGTAGGGTAAAGGATTGTATAGGGTTTAGGGTATAGGGTTTAGGGTATACATATAAGTGTATATATATCTACACATGTGTGTCTCTCTCTCTCTCCCTCCCCCTGTAAGCCCTTTTATGAAGCCATTTTCCATTTCATTTACCACTTGCTTTTCCATTTGATTCTCCATTATTGGGGATCAGAAGGGATCCTTCATACAGTCAATATTGGCTCAGATCCCTAAACGCTAAACCCTAAATCTTAAATCCTAGAACTTTCTCCGGAAGCAGCACCTTACAGGTGGCATATGAGCAAAAGTCTAAACTCCTAGTATCCTCCTTGAGACCCCTATGATATAGGGTTAGGGTTCGGGTTTAGGGTCTAAACTCCTGGTATCTCCCTTAATAAGCCTAGTATAGGGTTTAGGGTTTAGGGTCTAAACGCCTTACATCCCCCTTACTATCCCCTATATGATCCCTTATGTAACCCCCCTTGAAGGAGTTTAGACTCTAGCTCATAAACTTAGGGGTTAAGACTTTATCGGCAGGCCTCGGCCTGGACCCTGTTAGTATCGAGTGGCCGTGCTGTTACAGCAGAGATGTCAAACATGGATCCGGTGGAAGCCCCGATGTAGGAATCAGCCCTGATGATAAACCGTGTTACTGCAGGGGGCCAGGATTGTGCTTTTTGGGACGGCACGAGCTAAATCCTGCAAGCTGAACCTCTGTCCTGAACCCTAAGCCCTAAACCCGAATATTGAGCCTGAGAACCCCCAACAAAGGCGCAACAAGTCTGTGGGACGGTCGGCTGGGGTTTAAGGTTTAAGGTTTATAGGTTTAGGGTGCAACGGCTGTGACCAGGTCGATGATCGGGGGAGTGGCACGAGGTTCTTGGGGTGGGCGATGCGTGTCCACGACATCCATCTGGAGCCCCTGATGGCTCTCTATGAGGGTCCAAGTACCCAATAATTTGGTACTTAGGGTTTTGGGTAATAGTAGTTATAGTACAGGTTTTGGGTAAGTATACGATTATTAGGTACTTGGACTCTTAGGGTCTGGTGTTGCTGGTACATTAATCACGGGAATCAAGATGCGCTCCGCACCCTGAGGTTGCCTACAGAGTAGTAGTCTTGACTTATGAACTGACATGGAAAATCCCCAATTCTAGGTAGATTGGATTACAGGCGGACGTGTACACGATTTAGGAAACAGTGTGATTTCACGAGCGCCTTGCTGTTGTTGTAGATAGACCACATCCAAACCCCTCCTGTGTCAATCGGGCTTTCCCCCAAGAGGAACTTCTACAAATCTCAGTCGGCATTGTCTCTCTCTAATCCCGGGACATGTGACCCTTCTGCCTCAGCCCTCCCGGAATCTCTGATCTTCAAGTGTTAGGATTGGGCTTACAGTCAAGGGAGTCAACCCTTAACCCTAAACCAAGGGTTTAGGGAATCAACACGTTCTTCCCTCAACACTCCAGGAAGAGGCTGTACAATGGACCCTTGTAATATGAGTTATAGTCTAAACTCCTTAACGGGGGTTATATAGAGGAGTATTATAGGAATTTGGGGACACGAGAAGTTTGGACTATGGGCTCATGTAGTCGCCTTGGATGTGCCGCATGAGAGTTCTCAAGCAGAGGCCAAAAGCCTGACCACCTACCCGAAGAGGTTAGGGTTTAGGGTTTAGGGGACCTTGAGAAACGAGAATGTTCAATGGGGCTTGTTTGGGATGATGGTTTAATATTTAACGTCCCCACACACTAACATGGAAGTGCCAACAGGGCCTACCGAGACTGCAGGGCTCTCATATCGGATCTATATGTCGAGTTCGATTGGCCCATGTTAGGCGGGCAGGTAGATAGACCCTGCACCTAGGCTCAAAAACCTAAAGACCTGGAACGCTCAATCAAAGTTACCTACAGTACCACTTAAGCTGTAAGTATTGCACCCCACAAAACTGTAGGTGTGAGGGCTTACGGGCAAGGCCCAAACCTTAAATCCAAGCTCAAACCCTGCATCCTAAATCCTGAACCCTAAACTCCAAACCCTAAAACTTGACTCCTAAACACTAGGCCCCAAAAACCACAACCCTGAAATCGTAGAAATCCTTGAGCCAGTCGCTGCCCCATGAACCCTAAACCCGAAAAGCCTCGCCATCGCTGTTGACGACTTTGTTGGCGTTGAGAGCTTGTACCTGGGCTTAGGTACGGGTAGGGCTTGTCTAGGGTTTTGGGCCCCCCTTAAGTAGATAGAATATGGGGTATGTGGGGATTATATTATAACAGCCATATTCTATCTACTTAAGGGGGACTCAAAGGTCTTGAGCTTAAAGGGATTTAGGGCTCAGGGTTCTGGGCTTGGGGTTAGCAACGAGGAATTGGAGTCTAGGGCATACGGTTTAGGCTAAGGGCTCAGAATTTTGTCACAAAGGGTATAGGGTTTGGCGATAATGCTCATGCTTATAGAGTTTAGAGCTTGTGGTGTGGGGCTCAGGGTTAAAGCCAAAGCCTTATCCGAAACCCTAGACCTTTCGGTTTGGAGTTTCAGTCTTGGGGGTTGCGGTTTGGAGCTTGGAGTTCCTTGGGGATCGGATGAGATCTTGGGCTTTACATGAAGACCATGTCACAAACACATGAATGCGTCCTCTTCTCTCATATGGAAGACGGGTTTTGTGTTTAAAGATTAATTCCTTGTAGCGCTTGGAATTTGGGGATCTAAGGTTATAGACTATAGATTGTTCTTCTAACTCATTAGCCGGTTTGAGTCTCGAATTTTCAGGCCCAGAGGCGCAAAACCCTAAACCCAAAACCCTAAACTCCCAAACCTTAATCAACTCTACACCCCTGGTGCCATGAAGCTTTGAACCCATCTGGACGGCCTTGTTTCCTAAAATAACCCCTAAAACCCTGAACCCCAACACTCAAACGGGTAGTCGCCCCTAACCATAATGCAGACCCATGATTAATAAAGCCCCTCCCCTTAATAGGGATTATACAAGGGATCCTAATATTCAGGAAACCCTAAACCCTAAAGCCTAAACCCTAAACCCTTAAAAGGGTGAGTTTATTAATCATGGGTCTCCATTAGGGGATGCTGACATTCCAAGTCAAACTGGAAAAGTACCTAAAGGATCCAAGGACCCATATAATAGGGTCCCTTTAAAGGGGTTATAGGGGGACTATATAGGGTTTAGGGTTTAGGACTTAAGGGTCCAAGGACCCAAATAATAGGGTTTTAGGGCCCAAATTCTACAATATTATGGGTATTTGGGCCCAGAAGCCCTATTATTTGGGTCCTTAGACCCTTAGGGGTAGGGTAGATTCTATGGGCTTAGGGCTTCGGGTGATCTTATGTTCTATGGCCCTCCCGTACCTGGATCCCAAAAGTATATAAAATAATGGCCTTTTTGGCTGTTATTATGGGCTTACGGCTATTACTTTACATACTTTTGGGGGTTTGGGTATACTTTCATTGCCCAAAGCCTACTAACTTCGAGGTTCACGGATAGTTCTGACCAAGGTCAGAAGTAGAATAACAGTAATGGTACCTATGGTGGATAATAGAAATCCTGCATGACCCGAAGTACCTTATACCTTGGGAATAATGACTACATAAATATAAGGAATCTAATACCCGGAAAATATAGAGGATCCCTGACATTGACCCAGTGTATATCCCAATATAACCGCTATAAAGCCCTATATAACCCTTTAAAACCCTACAGTATGAAGGATCCATTACATTGATCTAGTTGCTAGAGTGCTCATCAAGATGGCTTTGAAGGCCTTAGTGGCCCTCAGTGTTCGCAACCTGCTCAGGAGTGACCCAGTAAGCCTGCGAACAACAGGTTTAGGGTTTAGGGTTAATGGCAGGGCTCATGATGTTCCCACGCTTGACTTGATTCCAAAGACCTGCCCTCTCCTCAGCAGAGCTCAGTCCGCAGGCCCGGATCATTGTCTTAGCGCAGAGCAAAGTCTGTGTCGTCACCCTTAAGGTGCTTTTGGGCCTTTGCTTCCGCTCTTGGCCACGTCCACGAACAGTCTTTCACTTCTGGCTCCTTGGCGCGGCGCGTGAAAAGAGGAAAATAACCTTCAAAGAGTTGAAATAACGCCCCTCAAACCCACATCCTAAACCCGAAATCCTCAACCGTGAGCCGGCCCAGTTGCGTGGGAGATCATCAGCCGCAGGGTCAGCCGGTTGGTGAAGAACTCATCTAACGAGCGTTCGATATCCTGTGGCAGACAGACTTTGATTGATCTTACTTACGCCGTGTAGTGTTGAAGGGTTTGGATTCGGAGGAATGACTTTGTTCGGGGGCACAACCCAGGTGCGACGAAAAAAGGAAGTTTCTTAGAGGTTTTTGTGTCTTTCTGAATCATACAGCCGCTACGAAAGCAGCTTATTAAGATGCAGCTTGCTCACGGGGAAGGACATGTATGGCCTCCCCGTTCCAAAAGGCCTCCCCGTAGGGAATCATGCACGTCTCGGGTGTACGTATCAAAACCAGGGAACCCTCAGAATGGTTGGGGCTTCAGTAAGGGGTTTAGTCAGCGCTTAGGGGTTTAGGGTTTACGGTTCAGTGGTTCAGGGCTTAGGGCGGGCAACCTTACTTTGAAAGGCATGGGGACGTAGTAAGTAGGTTAATATAGGGTTACTATATGGGTGGTCGTCAAAATTATGGTCCCTTTTTGGATCCCTATTATAATACGGCACCTAATATCTAGGGTACCCAAAAAGGGACCATAATTTTGACAACCACCCATATGGGTTATAAATGTTATTAACCTACGTACTAAGTCCGCCCGACCCTCCAAGTAGAGGAGGCCCATATAGAGATCTCATATAGTTACCCTTACTCGAGCCATCTATCGCCTTCTATGAATGTATCCACCTGGTAAAATAACACTAAACCCTAGAACAATAAACCCTATGACACCTAGAAAAAATCTTACCATAGAGGGCTAGATGCCTGCTAATCCCTCATGTATAGCCCCCTTTAGGGAGTTTAGACTATGGAGCTCACCTGGGATGCAATATGGCTTTGGGTATATTATAATAAGATCCCCATATACCCCTAATACTCTATCTACTTAAGGGGGACTACACATCCTAAACCCTATATGAACCTATTATCGTAGTTTCTAGATTCTTTTGAATTATCACCGTACACCCTAAACCCTAGACCCTATGACTACTTAAGGGGGACTAGACATCCTAAACCCTAAACCCTAAACCTCCCTAAACCCTGTTCGTTTCGCAAAGGCAGGTTGAAGCCTTCGAGTTGACATGGCTGAGGGTTTCGGGCATAGGGAGGTTTGAGGTCTAGGCTTTCAGGGTTTAGGCTTTTTGGGTTTAGGGTTTGGGGTTTAGGGTTTGGGGTTTAGGGTTTAGGGTTGGGGGTTTAGGCTTGGGGGGTTTAGGGTTTAAGGTTTTAGGGTTTAAGGTTTGCTGTAACCCCAATCATCTACAGCTTTATTGGATTCTGCCAAAAAACCTAATGAGTAATTGCTACTAAGCTGCTAGTTCACTACGGTTACAGGTAAGCTTTGTAGTTTAGGGTTTGAAGCCCAAACATCAGGGGGCGCCTTACCTTGAAACTTTGCACCCCGAACTTTAAACTTCAAACACTAAGCGCTAAGTCGCAAACCCCGAAACCAAAACCCATAACCCTATGTACTCCCTAACCCCCCCCCCTCAAAGGATCCTTTTGTCATACACGTATATCCAAAAGGAACCTAAGGTACGCAATTTAGAAGGACTCCTCCTTGTGCCTGAATCTTTAAGCCTAACTGCATCCCTAAACCTTAAACCCCAAACCCTAATCCCAAATCCCAAACCCCAAACCCCAGCCCCAAACCCCAAACCCTAACCCTAAGCTGTTAACTAACCCTAAACCCTAAATTATATGGCGGGTCCATTTTAGTCCCCATTCCCCTCTACAACCCCCATACAAATCCTAACCCTAAACCCCAAACCCCTAAATCCTAAAATCTTACAACGGTCTCCTGGATCAGATTCAGGTGGCGTAGCTCTGCCAGCTCTAGGTCGGGCCCGAACAGCTTATTCAAATCCTTTCGCGTAGGGTTTGAGGGTTTAGGGTTCGGGTTTGGGGCTTAAGGCGGAGTTAGGGAAAACAAAAGCTTACGAGGTTGAGTGAGTTTAGGGTGTAGGTCGTTTATGCTGATCTTTTAGTTACACGGCTTCCATGTTCGTTTGGTGCGAGGTTAGGGTTTAGGGTTAGGGGGGTGTCGAGAGTTCTTGGGGCTTAGGGTTTAGGGTGTTGATGTTTGTTTCGGAGTTAAGCAAAACTTGAATAGTTTGGGGTGTAGGGTTTAGGGGTGATGTAACAATCCCGTGTGACCTAGAGTAGCTTATACCGGTAGAATTGTGGTAGTGTGGTATACTCATGACGTGCTGCCCTTTTTTTGTGTTAGTAATATGGGGTTCCATGGAAGTTTGCAGGAGGCTAGGATCTTGGGCTTTGGGCTTTGGGTTGAAGGTTTAAGGTTCCGGGCCTGCGGTTCACGTTCAGAGTTCAGGGTTTAGTAGCGCTTGAAGCTCGTTTGGGAGTTCTAGAAAGTTTCAGACAGCTTTTGCTAGGGTTATGGTTTTGGAAAGACTGAAGGCGCGAGGATTAAGGCTACTTGGGTCGTACCCGTAGCCCCACAATTACCTGCACTTCCTACTAACTAGGGGGCAATTCCTACCTAATTGTTGTTTTTGGGTGTTACGGGTAGGGTCCGGGGTTTGGAGTGTTGGGTTTGGGGTTTTGGGGCCTGGTGGTTTCTTTCCGCTAGGCCTGGGCACAAATGTGTCGGGGTGGGGCTTATTGCCCAAAGCCTAAACCTGAGTCCTTAAACCAAGGGATCCAATTATACAAATAATGCCTACAGTGAACCCTAAAGTCTATAAACGTTACTTACATTGGGCTATTTGTACCCTTAGATTATTCATTGACGAAAATTTTCAAAAGTGCGCCGGCGTCCTCGTTGAACTCGAAGACGCCCTTGGCAACGTCCAACCTTCCGCCACGCAAAGGGGGCTGCAGGGTAGGGAGTAAGGACTCTAGAGCTCTCATGGGTTCCCTACAACCCCCTCCAATACTACCCCCTAGGTTCCCCCGTAATGAAGGTTAATTAAGCCTAAGCATCCTGAAATAACCTTAATTAAGGGAGGAACCTAGGAGGGTAGCGGAACCCATGAAGCTTGGGGGTCTTGAATTTAGGATGTAGGATGTAGGGTTGAGATTTAGGGTTTAGGGGTTCTCGGGTTAGGGCCTTTGGTATCCGTGTCAAAAAGGACGTCTACCTAAACTGTGAAACACCCGCCTTCAAATCTAAACGAGGTGTAAGGCAGTTTAGGGTTTAGGGTCTCAAGTCCTAGCGTTCTCCTGAACAACCCCTAACAGGCTCCTCTGCATACTGCCCTATACAGGCCCCTGTAAGGAGTTTAGACCCTAAATTGAATCCTAAACGCTATATATCCCTCTTACATGGAACCCCATACAAACAAACCACCTCTTGAGAGCAACCTCGACGTTGCAGGGCCCTGTTGGTCCATGCGAGCTATAATCTAAGCTCCTCAAAAACAGTGGATTATCCACAGCCCTTTATTCGGGGTTTAGGGTTTAGGGTCTGAACTACTTAAAGGGGGTTGTATAGCGGATTATACAAAAGCTTTTATTCCGGGTTTAGGGTTCACGGTCTGAACCACTTAAAGGGGGTTATATAGGGGATGATATTCGGAAGAGTCGTAGGGGCTAATTATTAAGGGGTTTATAGAAGCTTAGACTATAGCTCATGTAGGGCTGGGAGCTTCTAGGGGTTTAGGGCTTAGGGTTTAAGGTTCAGGGTCAATAGAGGGCCGTAAAATGCCAATTAGGTGACTGCGGTAGGCATGATGCGTACACTTAACCCTCAAATCTGGGACAGGTCGTGTTGGTGGAAAGACTTTCTGAGGTACCCTAGACCATACTAATACAAGGGGTTTAGGGTTTAGGAATCTGGAAACACAATATCAGTGTTCATTCTCCTTCACTACACTATACATTTTCATGTATATCACAAGCGCGGAACAAAGCAAAAACAATGTGTGAAGACTGATATGCTCGCTGGCTTTAGTAGCATGACTGTCCAGATACTGCACAAGAATGAATACATGCGGTAGTTTCCCAAAATAGGGGCCCCGGTATAGACCCCAAAAACTAAAGCCCCTATTCAAAGGACCACCAAAAGGGTTCCCCCTAATTTTGGGAAACCCCCAAGCATTCCTCCCAAATGTTTTCAATCCTGTCCGGTCCTGTGGACATGCCACGGAGGGGACAGGCAAGCTGCAGATACCCCGTTACTATTACTAATACTACTACTATTACTATTACTGTTAATTCTACTATTACTGCAATTACTACTACTATTATTACTAATACTATTTCTGTTACTATTATTACTATTACTACTATTCCTATTACTATCATTAGGACTATTACCAATGTTACCATTTCTATTGGGTGTGGTTGAAGAGCCGCGGGATTCCCAAAAACAGGTTGCGGAGGGAATGGACCACAAGGCCGTCAGGCGGCCCCCTCGCTTCCGCGTGTATTCCTCTGCCTCGAAACGAAGGTCCAGCAAAAATGCATCACGTTTCTGACCTTCTCTGTCACTTTGTATGACAGTCTCTGCATTCTTGCCCCAAAGCTGCAAGAGGTCACAACTTGGGAAATGGTTCCCATTTAGGTGTCCTGCTTGTAGGTCCATGTCCTCTTGAGATTGAGATATCTATAGGGAGTGAGGCTGCAGGTTGAAAATTATCCTGCATCATGGGTTCCCTCACCGCAACCCTAAACCCTAAACCCGGGATACTACCTCGTAGGCTCCCCTTACGCAGCCCTAGCTCGGAGGGAACTTCAGGGGGCCCTAAACCCAAAACCCTTATAGTTTCATAGTCCCCCTCAAGTTGATAGAATATGGGGTATATGGCGATCTTGCTATAATATACCCAGAACAATACTTTAATTCTATCTACCCCAGGGGGACTAATAACCCAAAACCCTAAACCAAGGGTAGTCCAGGAACCTCTATTCGTAGATCTTAGATCCCAGCGTTTAAGATCAAAGGCTGTATACGCCCCTGCACACAAACGATGTGGCGAGTGCTCGCCGCTAGCTGTAGCTGCAAAGAGCCGTTTAAAAGAAGCAAAGTTGAAATGTACCTACATCAACAGCATAGGCTTCAGTGTAGACCCCCTACTTACAAGCGCTCCGCAGTGGACCCCCGTACGAACTCGAAGAAGTTTAGGAATAATACTCCCCAATAGTCCCGAACAAAAATTTAAATCAGCTGTGGTGGCACATATACTGGGGGCGCCCATAGTACTACCCTCAACCCTTAAACCTCCCCAACCCCCTTAAAACCCCACACCCCCGATCCCTAAACTCTAAAACCAACTTGCTATATCCTTATAAAAGCATGCCCAAAATAACCTCATGAGGAACGCATGCCAGGCTAGCATTGTACCCCGGTGCTGGCTGAAGATGCCGTTCGTCAAGGCATGGTACTCCTGTTTCAAGGCGGCTAAGGGTGTTCAGGTGTTTAGGATTTAGGGTTCAGGGTTTAGGGTGTTCAGGTGTTTAGGATTCAGGGTTCAGGGCTTAGGGTGTGTAGGGGTTTAGGATTTAGGGTTCAGAGTTTAGGGTGGTTAGGGTGTTTAGACCTTAAAGATTACGGTTCAGGGTTTATAGGGCTCAGGGCCTAGGACTTGGGTCACAGTGGCTGTTTGTTATAACCCCTATTACTGCAACCCATCAACTAAGGGTGGCTGGGCTGGGTAACGGGATACATGTTAACCCCAACCCCCAAAGCTCGGGCCTTAAACCCGACACCCTGTAAAGTCAGCGAATAGGCGAAGGGGGTGGCGCTTGCAAGGCTCCCCTTACTGCCAGGATACCCATAGCTAAGCATTTTGGTCGGTACAGGCCTCTGGGTATGTAGTGATGATACCTTCCCCAAACCCTAAACCCTCTTGATGGAAGGGCTCCGGATAAGTCTTCCGCGATTTTCCGAACTAACATCACCTCTTGGATTTCCTGACTCCCTAGCGCCTCCGGGGTTTAGGGTTTTGGGATTGGAGTTCAAGGTTTACGGATCAGGAAGTTGCAACTAGTACACATAAGGACCTTTAATCGGCTGTTCAACTCCTAGTCGTCCACTTCCTGTTCTGCCACTGCTTCCTGCGGCCCAACTGTGTAGCCTGAACTATAGGCCTTGTACTCGCTGTGTAAACCCTACACGGCCCTTAAGGCTCATAGTCCCCAAACCTTGGGATCTACCCTCAAGTAGAAACAGCCCCTCATGAGTCCTATACTCACCCTTAATATATGCTCAGCATTGCACGTGCAAGAATCGGCTAGTGAAAGGCGGTCAAACAAGCCCCGCACTTTGAACCCTCATCTCCACGCTCTGAACTTTTCACCCTAATCCTAAGCCCCACACTCTAAACTCTTGACCAGTAACCCTGCAACCCTCACCCTCAGTCCTTAACCTAAAACCATGCCCTAAACCGTGTAGCCTCAGTGGAGAGTCCGTCGAAGCCGTACTTCTCTTCGAAATCCAAAACCTGGCTTAAGACTGTTTTTGCAATGGCTAGGTGCCTCGGCAAAGCATTTAGGGACACAATGGGGTGTGAGGGATATGTAGGGTCTGGGGTTTCGAGTCCAAAGCTTTGGTGTTGAGTTGAGGTTTCGCAGGATGACTTGTACATACATATATTTTTTTTGTATAGTTGAAATCCCTAAAGTACGTCTGTAAAAGTGTATACGTGGGCCATGTGTGCAATGTTGATTCAAGCACGTACTCCGGGTTTTCGTGGCCAACTGGGCGCTTCATGATGTTCCGCAACTTGTTCTCAGTCCAAGGTAATAGACACGAGTTCTTGAGCAGGAACCAACTAGAACTAGAAAGACCCCATTTACTAACTTGCAAAAAACCTATGCTGACTTGACCCTGTTGCCTATGCCGAAGCATTAGCTGAGACCTTGAGTGGCCACGTCGTCGCCCCATTCTCCCATGCGGCGAATGTTTCGGCTCCACGACCGAGCCCCTCTCTCGCAGCCGAGGACGTCGGCATGCAAGTGGATGTTGGTGACCACCTCATCCGCCACCATGTTCCGCATATCCTGGATGCTGGGCGTGTCCCAGCCCCGGAGCTCCATGCCCAGTCGAATGAAATCGAAGAGGCAGTTCAGGAGACCTGCTCAAAGATTTATAAAGCCCTAAATCTCCTACTGACCCGACCCAACCCTAGAATTCTACTGATGCCTGGAACTTCCCAGCGGCCGAGCCCTTCCTCGTAAAAGGCCCAAACGACAAGCTGAGTGCTCTCGGCGATTGCGCGCTGCTTCAGCAGAAGTGCTAAGAGCTTACAACATCTCACGGATCATGTAGAAATTCTTACTAGGGCGCAAGGGCTTGCCCGCCGAAAGCCAGCCGCTCTGTAAAGCGATAGAGGGTCGGCATCGTCCACGGAGCGAAGCAGGATGCAGTTGCATCGACACTCGTGGCCGAGACCTGCCAGCACCACCACAGACTGCCACCAGCTCATTGAGAAATCCTGTGCCTGAGGACCCTGTTCAGGAAGCGCTGGATCATGGCCTTTCCAGCTCCGATCCTGCCCAACGCGCCTATCAGCTGGACCTGTGTGGTGGTGCGACACATGCCCCCGTAGCTTTGCTAACTGATTGGCGTAAGACTGCATACCGAGACACATAGACTAGAGCTCCAGCCACCCGGTAGCGTGCTCCTCCAATCGGCAGCGCTGCCGATAGAAGGTGCCAGCGCTGGTCCTAGCCAGCGAGCATTCTTAGCACTGTCAGTGCCATATCAAGCGCACAGTTTACTTTCAAGCGCTACCTTTTTCTGAACTCACCACCCTCGCTAGCTTCACCGCCTCACTCCACCTGTCGCCCCCACGCCCGCCGAGCAACCCTCGCAAAACCACAACATGGCTTGGTGAGAAATCCGCTCTCCGTTTTGTGGCCTGTAGATTAAGTAGAAGCACGTTCATAAACATTCTACAGTCTTGGTGCGGCGTCTTCGGATCTCTGGTGACGTAGCCTCTTGTGACAGCTGTGCCGAAGTCAAACCGCTTGCTTCTATAGCCCCCATGGTATATCTTGTGGCAAGCGCTCTGGTTCTCAAACTGGTCCAACATGATCTCTTCACATCGTTGGGCGAGAACAGCGGGGCACACCTGGACAGCGCCGGCTGAAGTAGGATGTGTCTCACACAAGCTGTGCAAACCCTGCATCCCTGCAGCCTCACGGCTGAGAACCAAAACACCAGCTGCCTTCATGTCGCTCAGGTCTGAGGCCCAACGAATATCGGTAGGTTTGCCTTTTCCAAGATGCGACATTACATGCTTGGCTTGGCTCCAGGCGCTCGGCAGTGTCATCCTGAGTTTGGCATGCCACCTGAGCTGAGTGTGCTGCAGCGAAGGACACAATGGAGAAGTGAAGCTGCCCACCAACTCAAACTTGTGAAGATAACCCAATATTGTTGGGAGCATGGCAGCAGACTTCATCGGAGCCTGGAGCTTGCAGACCGCATGGTGACGCATATATACACTCATACAGACATACTTCAGGGCTTTCAGTTGTAGGTTTTTCTGGACTTATTTAAGGCTTAGAGTTTAGGATCTCCGTGCAAGCCTTGCACACTTGTACACTCATCAAGCTGGACACGTGCTGCTGTGCTTGCTTCGCGGGCTGTGGTCTTCCAGGACCAATAAGTCTCCATGTGAAGGAAGTCACGCAGCTTAGCAATGGGTCCCGGGGTTTATATACCCTATGGTCACATCGCCCAGTAGCCTACTATTCAGGTAACTGGGAGCCCTAGAGGAAGTCAAGCAGCTTAGTTGATTACCCTAACCCTATGTAACCCAATATAGTAGCTTCCATTTTCTTGTCCACCATCCCCATATAATCCCAATATAGCCCCAAACCGCATGGCCGATTTTCCTCGGGTCGCCCCTTCGGGCCTTCGGGAGGTGATTCCATTGGGAGATCCTCAGGATTCAGCTCTCTCCACCTTCCTGGCTCTTAGTAGAGAATAAGGGAAAGTATATATGAGCCATAATCTAAACTCCTAGTATCCCCTTAATAGGACCTAGAATACTCCTCTATATAATTCCCCATGACATATTTAATATGACCCCATAGGCAGCCGAGCACCCACAGAGGAGGGTGCCAGGATTTCGAAGCCCGAAAGAGTGCCCTTTCCAAGCCCACTTCTTTGACATGGCTCTTGAGCCCTAAGCCCCGAATAAGCCCTAAACATGAGGCAGCCAGCAAATTCCAGTTGATGCAGGAAATTTTACAAGTCTTGGAACCCAAGAGTGCTGTAATTCTTGATAAGATGGTGCAAAATTTGCCCCATGAACATTATCTCAGTAAGGTGGTTTCTTAGCAGAACGGGTTTGGAGGGTCCCCATAACGAGGGGCCTACGACTAGGTTCTTAGTATGCAACATGGGACTGTAATGCCTATATAACCCCAATATAATCCCGATAAGTTCCCTATATAACCCCCCATATAATCCCCGTATAACCCGCATATAACATATTCCAAAGTTCCCTCTTAAACACCAAGTAAGGCAGGGCTTCTCCATTCATGCTGGAAATCCAGGCTTCGCGTGGAGGGTCAGGGGGCCTAGTACCTGGGTTACTCATGGGAAGAACTGGGGTTACTACGTTGGCTCTTAGAGTTTACATGTATACCATATACTGACTAAGCTCCCCCCAGCCTTCAAGCAGGAATCTGGGTACTCTGGGCCGACTCTGGGTTAGACTTTTATTCGGCCATTGTGACGCGCTCGACCCTACCAATTAATATGTCCCCTGAAAACCTTGCGAGTCAATTTGGCTGCACGGGGATTTCAGAAAATTATGGACATCATGTTGGGGGTGCCCAGTACTGGGGTCCCCCGGTTAAGAACACTACCACATGTCAAAACCGATGGCCCAGAATTGCCTTCTTAAAAGATAGACAAGGCTCTTGCTGGAAGGGCGCGCAAAAATGAGCCCAAGGACTCGAAAAAGTGTGCAATCCAAGACCCTCCTGCAAAAACACAAGCCCCTGCTCCGTGAACCCTAAACGCTGTGCAAACCCTAACCAGAAATTCCGACTTAAGACCAAGGCATGGGAGGCTCATGGGGCATAATGGAAAAGACAATGGAAACCACTCTAGTAGAGTAGGGTTTATTTTGGGATGATATAAAAGGGATAATGGAAAAGAAAATGGAAACTATTATTTAGGGTATCTCCAAGTAAAGCCTGGCTCCTAGAAGTATAAGATTCGGCCCTTATACGCTACCATTTTCTAGCGTATGGAATTCCGTGCATAAAAGATACTGGGCACAAAGTCTAGATTTAAGTACACCGTGAAAAAGGGGCCTAATTAAACCCTAAACCTTAAGGGTCTGGTAGGGAAGACCTGCTTGAAGTTCTGGACGTACCTGCCGCTCGAGGATATCGTAAAGTACAGTCCACTCTTCAGGGTTCCAGA